GTTGTATCAACTGAAAGATCTGTTTGCCAAATCCAAACGAAAATTCAGTTGAGTCAACGAAATTTTGTTTCATTCAACAGAATGGACCTCTCAGTGCAATGCCGTAAACAAAGTGCATATCCGTCAGCTTTTTCGATATGTAACGCTAATGTAGACACTATAATAGTGTATGAAACTATAACACGACACTATAGTAGTGAATAATAACTTACTTACTACTATAATAGTGAGTATTACTTAAAAACATTTGTTTTAGTCTCTTCTATCACTCTTAGAAGTCTGGACATCGAATTTTTGAACATCCTGTATAATACGTGTATGTATAGAAGTTATATATGTATATGTGTACGTGTGGGTGTGAGGGTATACATATGCGTTTGCATGTGCGCGTGCGCGTTGTGTGTGTGTGTGTGTGTGTGTGTGCAAAGTGACACTTATATATCTTAAACAATATGCAAGTCTTTCATTTTAATTACAGAATGCAGTGTACTTAAGATTATCTTTCTCTCTCCTGTTTTAAAATATAACCTATAATTATAAATTTATTGTCATTATATATGAATAATTTATTGTCATTATATATTTGGCAATTTTTACTATCTAATAATAAAATATAGGTAAGCACACTGTGAGGTTTCAAGAGTTCAGAGAGAAAGCATTCGAGCCGCTGTATACTCTTTTTATATCACTTTAATGTTTTTTTTTGTAGTAGATTGTTATTACCCGCATGGAGTAAAATATTCAGTGGACGTTTATTCATCAAGGAGATTTGGATTTCTGCGGTGGACGTCCATGTAACATCTACAGGACTTCCACTAAACCTTCCTTGTGATATACCTCCAGTGGACCTTCATTAGAAATAATGATGAAGATTTTATCGAGGTTACATCGACATATATTTTACGGATACATGTATAATGAAGTCTTTATAGATATTTTTGCAGCTCCTACAGATAGTACTAAACATTGCTATAAACATTTTATGAATATTTTTAAGAATATTTCGAGTATTCCGTAAAACAATCTTATGCATATATGTATATCTATCTATAATTATACATAAAGGAACTCAAGAAAAATGAGAACTCTCGCAGCTCGATAACCATTTCACTAACATACTCTGAAGAAGTCTTTCGAAACTTTGCAGTCGAGCAAGCTTATAATCCTTTTTGCAATTCTAAATACCCGGGAAAAATATATATAACTAATCATATCTGAATATATCTAACTCAGATATAAGCAGATATGAATTTTGTTCCTAGCCAATTATGTACATACAACGAAAGGTGAGTTAGATATCGTTTGATATCACAAAAATATGTTCGAAATATCTGAAAGATTTATTTTAATACTTTATAAATATTTGACAAAATGTTGTATATACAATCTATTTAATGAAAGACTATAAAAATATTTATGAAATATTTTGGTAAATATTGATAGAGTATTAAAATAAATCCTTTATAAATATTTGTATATATTTGTGTATTATCAAAAACAATATTTAACTCACATTTACGTTGTATATGATTGACTAGGGACAAAAATCATATCTGCTTATATCTAAGTGAGATATACTCAGATATCATTAAATATATACATTTTTCCCAAGTTCTTAGACAGATAATTAATTTTACTTAGACATAAAAAAATATAAAAAATATAAAAAATAAATATTCAGGTCCTCATCTTTTGCCAGTGCAAATCGGAATAAGTTGACCGTTTGGCAACTCACTGTCGGTTCAGACATTTCGCCGTTTCGCCTTTTATACTATTACGGGACAATTACGAGAAAGCCTGACGCTCGGTCGCTCCATCACGGCAGCGAGTGCTTGCTATCGCTGAGCGCTATTACAAAGCCGCGCATATTATTATGTTTAAATATTTTAAAATATTCGTAAAACGTTCATACAAATGTTGGTGCTATCTGGGAAGGAGCTGCAAAAAGATATCTATAATGATAGATGTTACAGTCCATCTGTATGACGGATGTTATCCATTACCAGATATCCATCATGAATGTAACATGGACGTCCATTTGATAATTGACGTCATGGAGATAGATATTTAGTGGAGCTATGGATGTTCTGTGGACGTTCATTGGAAGTGTTCTGGTTGGGTAACATCCATGTTATCAAAGAAGTTCTCGCAGTAATAGATAAATGAGATAATGCGATTGGTAACATTGTATAAGAGTTCTTTTCTTCCTCGTAGAATTATTGGATGTTGACACTTATTTCAAATCGATCATTAATATTTGTATAAATATTAATATCTTTATTATTTAATAAAGTTTGCAGCTTGCTCGAATCTTGATCTCGAGATTGTTCGACCAGTCTCTAGTTTGTAATATTAGGCACTGGGTCTCAACTAAGAACCTCAGCCTTAACGACAGTATTTTAAAACAATCTATGATATTGTAAGTAACAGCCTTTCTTGAAGAAGCCTTTCTTGTGTGAAGCCTTTCTCACGACGAACAAGGCGTCGATCGAAGAGTCAACTCAAAAGATCGCGTGTTTGTAGATTGGATAGTTTGTAATTTATTCAATAATCCTGACATTCGTACGACAGTTACGCGAAAAATGAATTAACTTGTTTCATTGCAACGAAATCTTAATTGTTTTATAAAGAAAAGGGAATATTTTCATCATAATAATTTACGGATTATAAAGAAATTATATTTAAATATGTTTGACTTCCAGTTCTAAAAATTTTATTTAAAAAAGTAATGATTTGTAAAAATTGACGTCCTCAGCTTTTGACTCAATTTATTGTATCAATTGCAATTGTAGAATATATAAGAAATATACTATCGAAGTTTTGCCGAATTAAAAGATGAAAAGAACCAAAGAAATAAAAAAAGAGCAAGAATTTGTTCGTCTTGCAAGAACATTATCTCTGGCTGTAAATTTGTAACTTTCGTTACTATATGTTTCAACAACTGTATTTAATTCAATTTTTATAAGAAATAAAATATCTGTTATACATTTAACAATGTCAATTGGATTTTATATTTTTAAAAGCTTTTACAAGCTTTTGTTTAACAGCTTGTTATACTGTGCTCGAATTAATAACGTCATGAAATCTGCTAGGAAATAACGAAATATAAATTATTTATTACAGCCATGGTAACGAATAACTATAAATATTCATAATGTCTTAATATGACATGATAAACAATAAAAACGCTAATATCTTGTGTTGATTAGTGTTTATTAAAGTTCATCAAAAATTTTAAGAGAAAGTGGGAATCAAAGGGTGTATCATGTGATAAGTTTGTGCATATGTTCGTGTGTGTAGGTAATAATATATATGTGCACATAGATATGTAGTATTCAAATATACAAGTAAAAAGGTTTTTTTCGTTTAGAACCGTTATTTAAATATCAAATTAAATGTATAATAGTTGTATTCAGGTTTTTCTCGTATTTATGTCTTTTGTATGAACTACAAAAAAAGTTGAAAGTGATTATTACTTCAGCGTGAGAACTACGGAGTAAGCCACACAAATAGTTGTTCTACGCAGTTTCAATTTGTTTATAAGGTTACAAGAAACTTTTACATTTATTGTCATTAAGATGATCATTCTTTAACCCTTGATTGTTTGTCCAGCATTCGTTATTAAGGTGTTACATTCTTGCTTAGGAGTGGCAAACTTGCGAATTTAATAAATATTTCAGATTTTACGGGTAAATTATTGAAAGACGTACAATGAATTTACGTTGCCCTCATTACGTTCTCTATATTGTCACATGCATTGTTATGCATGTAAACATTTAAGGGTCAAGATGTAACATTGCTTGCACGTACAACTAGCATCAATTATACTCGCAAAAAGCTTTTGTCTTAATCTTGTTTTGTAAGATATCAGAAATAATCTTACCCCACGTTTGTTTTCTTTCTTCTTTTACTACAATATATGTATAGTCGTGTATTCGTCTTAAGAACACAGAAGTATTGTACGCACAAACTTTTTCTTAAGAATAATTATTGTCTTTCGTTTCCAATATAGTGTACATCGGCACAATATAATACCCTTGATGAATTATCGAAGAATATGCTAGAGCTTATTACATTAATGTACAATGTCAAAATTTATTAGATATAAGTCTTACTAGTTTATTGTCGAAGTATCGTTTTTATATATTTAGGAAGAAGCCGAGATGCGACATTTTATTTGGCACAGCTGCAAACATTCACATGCAAACATCCCCGAGAGTATTTTGCCGTATTTAAATCGAGTATCGAACCATGCAACGAATATCTCTCTTTCAGCAAATAACGACCTAGAAAAAATAAAACGCATATTTTATAAAATTAGACTAAAATAATAACTAAAATAATAAATAATTTACTCTAAATAATAATTACTAAAATAATAAATAATATAATGTTACTCTACATTTATGTAAATTATATGAATATTAAATGTGTAACACAGAAACGATATTAACAAGTTAAAATATGTAACAACTTATTATAATGAAACTGATCTTGAACGGAACGATTGCTATCATATGCATAGTTTTCCTTAATAACATCAAATGTCCGATGTTCTCCAGGTAATGTTTTCTCCTGAATAATAAATGTTAGAATTTATTAAAATTTTGCACGTGAAAGCTGCAAATGTGATTCAGTCTGTGCAATTGCGCATTGAATCGCATTTGCGTTTTGAGTTTTTTTTCGCAATGTATAATAGTTGACTGGTGATTTTCTGACATCTACGGCATACTTTTGAAATCCGGTTTAATATTTCGAACAAACTTCGCCTCATTTAACCAAAGTTTATTTTGTTAAATTTACAAAAATGTTTTTGTGAAAAAAAAACTCCGGCAAATGGTTCACTTTTTTGATGAAATTAAATCCATTGAGGAGTTTTGCTTGAAATGACTGAACAAACTTCTATCTTTTTCGACCTATACAAATCGGATTTCAAAAGATAGATAGATAGATAGATAAATAGATAGAGATAGAGATAGAAAGAGAGAGAGAGAGAGAGAGAGAGAGAGAGAGGGGGGGGGCAATTTTAGGTTTTATATCACTTTAAAAATTATAACTTTGAAATCGTGAAAGGAAAGTTTTCTTTTTCTGAGTTGTTCTGATGATAACACAATTAATGTGTGCGAATTTAATGAATCTACTATAATATTCATCTTTTTTGCTCTCTGACGTTTCATTTTGCAAATTTCAAACGCGGAGAATTACAATCCATAAAAATGTGCCGTTTTATGTCAAATTACTTGTTTCGCTTTTATTGCGAAACTGCATCGAACTGCACAAATATATACATATATGAAAAACGCATGCACATCATTAATGAGATCCCATATATAAATAAAATTTATTTCATGCATTTAATATTTAATTTAATATTTAATTCTATTTACGTTAGAGATATGCATGCGATATTTCGATATATTCAAGAAACATAGCTCTTTGGAATTTTTACTTAATAGAGGTGTCCTTATTCAATCCATTTCTGATACTTGTGTTCTTTCTTAGAATTCGTTTGGGGTATTAAAACTTTCGATACGGAGAATGACTGCCTTTTTTTGCAACCGGATGTCGAAAGGATTTCTCGACACTGGCTGATATTGGATTAACATTTCTGATTTGCACTTACGTATTGTTGACACAAAAATTTAAAGATTCGCAGAGATACCAGAGCCATAGGTTCTTCAAAACATACGCGATCTTCAAGACGAGCGTCGCTTATTCTTGCAGTCGCAGCATCGCTGACAGCTGCAACCGGCTGCAGCTGCGTCGTCGGTTACAGAGCAGACACAAACACTAGTATGCATGCGGCAGTTTTCGGATTTGTACCGTTTCCTCGCAACAATTCGCAGCATACTAAGGTAACATGTATTCTCGCGGAAGAGGTCCGCTCCTCTGTAAAGAAAAATGTACACTCTCAGGTTAAGAAAGCGATAACTTGACAAATAATGCGCGCAAGAACGTTTTAATTTAAGAAGAGAAGAATGTAAGAATCATAGAGATTGTAAATACGAAAGTATTACGTGATTTATAAGATCTGAGTGATCTAACAATAATTATATTGGAACTTAAGAAAGAGAAGAGAATTTAGAGGAAAATGATTACAATAAAACTGATATTTAGATTCGAGATTACTGTAAGATGTCGGACTTCGGATAAGTTGGAACAAATAGTGACACTTTAGAGAAATTTTAGAGGTAAAAGAACTTACCGACCAAGCTTGACCAATGTTAGGCGGGTTGTTGTAACGCCGCTGATTGTAATCGTAATTGACCTTTGGTGTAATTTCTAGGAGTGGCAATGAATTGGAGAATTGCTTTCGCGATTGTTGTCGATTCAGCAGTTGCTCTTCGTTTACTAGGTCTTTACTGTCTCTAAAAGCGGCGGCTTTCGCTATCATCTCTTCAGCTGTATGTTGCTCCTGAAGTACACATATTATTTACACAACCTATATAATGTATTGAGGATGTTGAGGCAGGTATAACAAGTATATCTTTCCTGCTAAAAGTTAAGTTGCTTACACAGAAAAAAAAAGAATATTCTTCTTTTGAAAATACAATATGTTTAGTTTTAACATGAAAATCTTGAAATGAGATGATATTGCGTTAAAGGGAGGAAAACTTACTTGAATAAAGCAATTTTATATAATTCAATCAATAAAAATATATGCTTATTATGTAAGAATAATTTTTTTGAATGGAAGCGGAACAATATTGGACAGAAAATAACTTATTTTCAAATTGAAGATCATAATGAAGAAAATGATTGTATCGTCAAAATAATCATACGCATTTTTCAAGTGACAATTATAGTATTAATAAATAAGACTAATTTTGTGGAAATATAAGATTATTAAATGCTTCGAAGAAGATTATAGATTGTTTAACATATACAAAACAATGAACGCGTTAATTTGAATATTTCTAAATAATATGTCAGGAAAAACAGCAGCGTTATGGCGAATTATCTTACTGTTAACAGAATATTTTGCACAATTAAATACACGCCGCGGTACAACGGGCTGCTGATACGTCTCGGACTCGTAAGATAACATTCATGTGAGACGAGATAAAGCAGGCTTTGAGGCAAACACGATTATCCGACAGCTAAATCTGTTTTTAAACATTTATTAGACGTATGTTACTGGGAAAATTTGCCTGTAAGTGTCGAAATAATTGTACATAATTTATCCCCTAAACCCCTAATATGAAAGTTGTTTAAGAACAATACTTCTGAAATTTTAACTTTAGAAACAAATATCTTGGTAAAGAGAAGCGTTGTAAAAAAAAATTTTGTAAAAACTTTCATATAATTTGCTATGCGTTTACAAATTAACAAGGCCACATGTTTACCTAGTTAAAGCTTGGTGTCACCAACGTCGTTTAACTTTAAGCTTAGCCTAATTCATTCTTTGCCTCTTTCCAACTATTACTTTAGAAAGAAACAAACGTGAATTAAACCAAGATTAAAGTTACACAACGTTTGGTGAAACCGGGTCCAAGTGTCTAACAGGCATTCAAAGAATTAACGAACCGTTCGGTGCAAGGATCGGTGACTGACCTGTAATTCGCGTGCTCTCTCGGCCTGGACGAGATTTTTGAGCGCCTCGAAACTGCCGGATTGAGGGACCTGCGATGAGATACCGCCGCCGACGCGGAAGTTGGTTCGACGATTGTTCAGCAAATAAGGACCTGTATTCACGGTCCCGAAATGTCGCGATAACTCCTCAATGATCCTCATACGCGAAGGTCCCCGCATCGCATTTCTCCATCGGCTTCCTGCCGGGGCCTTGTGCACCATCCTCCCGTAAATTGGTGCACCTCCGGCAGCCCGACTACGCGGCCGTCCAGCGTGTCTCCCTGCGAATTATCAGTCCTTCACTTCCAGCTTCTTTCCCGCAAATGTTATTTTGCCTGACGCAAAAAAAAAACTGCCCTTCTCATTGTCCGAAACTTGATAACGCAGTGAAAGCAAGGGATTAGTCGTGAACTGTTGGACAGGTATGCGGGAGAAACATTTTTTTCTGTTATTAATTACTCAAGCGTTAATATGCGGCTCTTAATTTTGTTAGACGTCGAGAGGGAAAGATTGGATTGTATAAAAGTTTTTATAAAATTTTTGGAATATCCGACGATTTGAGAGGATCCTTTAGCCATCTTTTTTATCGACACAGTTAAATATACATAGTTTTTGCGCTTGTAATTCTTTTTATTAGCTTTTATGCACAAAATAATGCCAAGATAAGTTGCGGACCGCATAACAGAACATTTTCATATCTAAAACACTCAGTTCAGAAGTCTAATAGAAAAGATATTGGTATTTGAAAATTTCAATCCGTAGTTCTAACTAAATTTGAAATTGGCTTTATAAAATTGCAAGATTTTTCCACGCGATTAAAGTACGCATCAAGACAAAACCAGGAACAGTCAACTTTATATAAAAAAAACAAAGAGAAATTAAAAGTATCACTTTATACGTGATTCAGGTTAGATAACCGAGGGGAAAGAAACGTAAGAGAAAACCATTGCACAGAGTCTTTGAGAGTAAAAGAGTCCGGTGTCACAAGCCGAGGTAGTAGCTGAATTGTTTTTGCAGCTTTAATAGACTGTTTTGCGAGGTAAAAAACTACCCTACTTAAAACAAAAAATTCAATCGTTTTTTAGCAGACTCCTGATTGATCAAGAAGCAATTTATTGGGGAACTTTAATGCATTTTTTGAGTTTAGGGAGGATTTGAGATCTGACGGAGCATTTCTGACCACGGATTTGTATTCAGCGGATCAAAATACTAAAAAAACATGTTCATATTATTTTAGTTCCGCAGACCGAGGAGTGGGTACGTCTAGCAAAAGTACCCGTTTCGTGAAATTATGAGTTTTTTGAGCTTAGGGGCGATAAAGCTAGAAATTGTTCAATTCTGACCTCAGATTCAGATTCAGCGGGTCAAAATACATACACTGAGAAAAAATTCCCATCGGATAAACCAATTAAATAGTGTTTCCGATGGATAATTTTTCCGATTACGTTTTCCGATTAAATTATGGATACATCCGATGAAATTTATCCGATGAAATGCAGTTATCGATGAAATTTGATTGAAAAACCGATCATATTTTTCATCGGACATACAATTTAATCGGATATATCTGTTTGTTATCATGTAATTGGATTATCCGATTATATTTAATCGGACATTTTTCTCAGTGTAGGAATACACTTGTCTGGTTTTAGGCCCAGACAACTTTTTTTTGTGGGGCTGTGTTATTATAGATATCAATAAATCGAATTATTATGTATATATCGTTTAAATTGATATTTCTGTTCATCTCGTGGACCTTTTACTTTGCCTTATACATAGAAATTATGAACTTGATTTTCGGAATGGCAGTCGGCATAACGTGTTACGAGTGATTAAAATCGTCAAGATTATATAGAGATGCGTTCTCCGTGTAGGTGGGAATGAGTGATGTCAGGTCAAGAAGCCTGTATATTGCGTTTCGATGGATGAAAAGAGCTTTGAGGACGCTGACGTTTTCGCGTGGGCGAAGATGTCATGAATTTCGTAGCGTCAGTCGCGATGTAGTTTTCGCATATAAATTAGAGATGTTAATTGGAATAGAGCTCTGCTGTTGCGTTTGTTTAAAAGCCGTGTGTGTACTACTCGCTAAACTATTTGCGACACGGTGATTGCGAGAAAATTGATTAAATGGTTCGTCGATACTAAAATACAATATTTAAATTTGTTGCCTCTCGAGCCTAAATATATATTTTTACTCAATGTATAATATACATTCAATCGGACAGTAAAAATAAATGTGATATTGCTACACTGAGAAAAACGTCCGATTAAATACAATCGGATAATCCAATTACATAATAACAAACGGATATATCCGATGAAAAATATGATCGGTTTTTCAATGAAATTTCATCGGTAACTGCATTTCATTGGATAAATTTCATCGGATGTATCCATAATTTAATCGGAAAACGTAGTCGGAAAAATTAACTATCGAAAATACTATTTAATTGTTTAATCCGATGAAAATGTTTCTCAGTGTACTAATACACATAAGCCGCTGATTGATGAAGACTTCTCGAGTAAACGGGAAAAGTAAGCACCGTGGTTAAAGTTAATCCTCAATTATAATGAGAGTATAATGATTATAAATGAATTTACCGCATTAGCGGCGTCACAGTGTGTACACAAATGCAAAGATAAATAACGGACTAATTTAATTTTAGCAACTCTTAACTTTAATTATAGTTTAATTGATTCTCTCTCTTTCTCTCCCTTTATATCATATTAAATTACCTATATCTCATGATTAATCACTTTAATCGACTTTAATAAGTAATTTCTTTAATTATTAACCTCATGGAGACAAATATTGATGTACATCACACTGCGTCGTTGTAAAATCAAAATAAATTGACAAATATGGGAAATAAATTAAAAAGTGAAAGAGAAAGAGAGATTATAATTAAAGTTGAGAGTCGTTGCTGAAATTAAACTGATTTTTATCTTTGTTATCATTAGAGGAAAGTCCTCTATTATGAGAGATAGCAGGTTTTCAACGCCCAAATTCAATCACAAATCTTTTTTTTCGCAACGATTACAAGATCTAACAATGAATTTTCCACTAAACAGATTTTGCTCCAAGAGCAATAAATTCATGATGGAATCCACAGATGATGCCTATTAATTTAAACGGAGACCGTGCTATCTCATAGTAGGGGACTTTCCTCTATTTATCTTTGCATGTCAACTACGATTAAAAATATTTGGCCAATTTTCGTCGATAAAGAATCGCAAGATAGGGAATTAAATAATTCGAGCGCGATGTGTGTTAATTGCACGTTCGCTTTGCACGGGCAATCGAATTTGGGTTCAGTCAAAGCGCCTGCGATTCGAGTCTGCGATACTATCGCGCTTCAAAGCGATAGGTAACCAACATTCCCCTGATAATTAGCCTGAATCGTAGCGTATACTCGTTAGCGTAAGTGCCTGGCGCGTATACGCGGTAAAGTGGCGCGCTTGACCCACATGTGTGACGCGTACATTTGCAAGATGGTATTGCAGCCTGTGTGCTTAGGCAAGTTTGCGTTGCAACTCTAGTGGGCAACGATGCACCACTCGATGCATAAAATCGACAAAACGCACGCACATATTCCTTCCCTTACATCCGCCGTTTCATTCCAATTACATCACGCCGGTGCTTTTTTTTTATCATCGATAAAGTTACACCGGTTCGCAAAGTAAATCACGTCTTATTAGCATTGGGTCGTCTGACAAATGTTCGCCACGAAGCGATCTCGCGAGGAAGAATATTTATCTTCTAAATCGCTCGTACGCAATTTCACATTAATATTATACATCAAGCACAAATTGAAAAATTATGCAGATTTGCTTACCTTCCAACTCTTCTCGTAATTTCAGTCGTGTAGGAGCGACAATGTCTGTGCAAAGCCAAATCAGTTTTCTTAAATTTTTGCGAATTCTTTCATCTTACGTTTAAAGAAATCATCTCTAGTTTTTTTTATGATAACACGAACGGCAAAGGCAAAACTCTGGATTTTCAGAAAGATTTTACCAGATTCCGTCGCGGTTTCGTGTCTCGAAAAACATTGTAGGATCTTACCTCGCGTGTATCCTCTGGATAATTTAATGCGATCGGGAAACATTGCGGTACGTGGCCATATATTGGGATTGAACGAGTACATCGGGTATCCGTTGGTGGTTTTAGCGGCTCTGCTCTGCCTCTTCGTGTACCTCCACATAGCGCGCAGCTCGTCGCACGACGGCTCGGTCAGGTCCAATCGTTTGTCGCCGATGTCGCCGTTACTTCCCGCCTGCGGATCGATATATCGCAAACCTGCGACAAACGACCCGCTCGTGTACGTCAGGACGAAGGCGATGCACACGGCCGCGGAGCGCATTTTCTGAAATTACAATGACAAAAATAAAATGATCATCGCGGCAGCATAAGAATATTGCGCGCGAGGAGTTTCCACTATTCGAGGATTTTCTTCCGTTTCTACGATTTCAAAAATTATTTTATAACATACGACCAGCGAAGAAAAAGATTTGGTATCTCGAAAAAGTAGACACACATAGACACATACAGACACAAGAAGAAAGGTAAAATCTTAAAACTTGATAATATGTTGCGCTCGCTGATAATGAGACAAATTTTCATTGGACAAGCCACTAAATATGTTTTCGGAAAAGTTAATCGGAAAAATTAACCATCGAAAACGTTATTTAAATTGTTTATCTGATGGAAATTTTTCTCAATGTGCCATGAGCCTAAAGGTCTGAACAGGAAGTTTGTCGGGATCGTTTACAATCCCGTCATAAGACTTAAGTCGGTGTCGGAGTCAACGCAAAATATTGTCGTGTATGTTGCTTCGCGAGGGCGTGTAAAGTTAGCAACCCCAACATTAAAATTTTGTAGTTCCGACCTCAGTTCCCGCTTCTTTTCGAAGAGTTTAAGAGTTCCCTGTAGATTATAAAAATAAATCAAAAAAGAAACTTTCTCATTAGACCATCGGCTACGTCCCGACATCCGACAGCGACGTACGACGTATCGTATAACACGCCTTAGGCCTAGTCTACATATGATATCGTAAGTCGTTGCTGAATGTCGGAAGTCGCTGCAGCTTGTTATAATATAATGTCGGTAAAATCACGACATGCGTTTTATAATCTGGCTCGCAAGTGCCTGTGTGAATAAGGTAAAACATATACATATATAATAATGTTTTATTAAATAATTATATTATACAACTAAATTTTCAACATTTTTCCGACTAGCCAAAACAAGTAGCGCGCATGCTCCCGACGAGTGGCGCTCGTTTGGCCACGTTGCAATGGACCGCGGTCCTGATTGACCACGGCAAAAATTTAAGGGTCCTTTCTGGTTTGTTAGGTAAAAAAATAGGCAATGTTTGTGAATTTTTTGTAGAAAAAGTAAACATCGTAGAAACTAAAACCTTTTATATTGTATTTATTACACTTTAAAGTATATTTAAAAAAACTTTTAGTCAATTTTATTAATTTACTGCAGCGGAATATGGAGCAGCCAAAATCTCTGCGCGCCAACCATGGCGTCCTGGCGGAAGTTCTCCAGGTCTTAAAATTTGTCTGAAACAGCTAACACAACGATTTTTCTGTTAAGAATAAATGTAATTCTGGAATAGACCAAAGAAAATAAGTTTGAACAAAAATTGACAAAATGGCGACATTTCAAAAATAATGTTCACTTTTTGCTAAAAATTTCCGATACTTTTGTGTTGATAAAAAATAAAATATTACAGATATCGATATAATAATGGTCTATTCCATAGAACAAACATTTTTATACATGTTAAAAGAAGACCGGATGTGATTCGTTGAAAATTGTGTGAGTTATTACTTCCGCCAAGTCGAAAAATGTGGTTTTCGGGAAAATGCGTTTAAAGTTTAAAGTTTCGCCGTATACCTGCCCGCGCACGGCTGGTTCAAAGGCTCATAACTTTAAAACCGTTACGAATTTCACTTTGTGCTTTTATCACAATATTCTACATACTTAGGGCTATCAAATTATGCAAAAAAAATTTTTTCGATTTTTTTGACCTAACAAACCAGAAAGGACCCTTAAAGTAACAACCCTACCTTACGTGGGGATTGTGGTCAATCGGGACCGTGGTCAATCGGGACCGTGGTCAATTGCAACGCGGTCAAACACAACGTGGCCAATATTTACGTGGTCAATATTAACGTGGCCAAATGGGACGCTCCCGCTTCCGACTACTACCTGACACCCGACATCTTATGTAGACTCTAGGTCTTACGACAATCTTTCTGCTCCAGTTCTAAGGTGGCATAAGGCGCTACGGCAATATGCGGTGTCCTCACAGTGAAGGTATTTTCAAGCACGTTAAGCTAGTATCAGACTACGGATCGAGATTGAGATTAGATTGAAGTTTGACCAATCGGAATAAAATTCACTAATCTCAAGTTTAGTGGCTTTTACTCTAATTACCGAAATTTCAATTTAATCTCAATCTCAGTCCGTCCGATACAGGCTTCAAATATATTCTCGAAACTAATATAATTTTGCATACATACTGTCTGAATTGATGCGCTTAGAAATATACCTTCAACTACTGTGCAATGTGACATGCCTAATTGCGCGAATTTCGGACAACTTGATTTGTCAACTTGAAACATTTCCCATTTAAAAACTATCATATCCTCGGTATTTTGGTAGGATTTTTATCTGAAAAACTCTGGAATCCATTATTAACAGGTGGTGCGTTACACTCTGCACAGGTGGTCTGGAACACTCTGCACCTTCATGCATTCTCTAATGCATGTGGTTACCTCGAAGCTTCTTTCAAACAATTTCTTAAGGTGGAGAAAATGCAACCTTACGTAGCTACAGGTAAGCTATGATTTAACTAACGCCTAGAATGATTGATACATTAGTCTTTCAATTAATTTTAGTACGTGAAGTATATTAGGGTTCATTTTATTTAAACGTAAGTAAGTTAAAATAATATGGTAGAAAACGCTCTTCTCTACAGTTTATTGCTTTATTTAGTAAAATTTAACTCTCCTATAAAATCCGTTAAATTAATATCTGGTTGCATTATTGTTAAGTTAGAAAAACAATTAACTTATTTAACGAAGAATTATTGTATGATGAGTAGTTTGAAAGTTGTGCGAGTTTTATACGGGCCTGTTAGAGGGAGAATTTTGCGCAATTTTACATTATCTTCATTTTGCACTGAATAGATTATGAATCTGATTATGATTACGAGAGAAGAATATATCTTTTTTTCTGACGGTCCGATTGCTATTTTTGTTTCTTTTTGCATCAAGAAACGTACATCAAGAAGCTCCAAATTTTTACTAAGAGTTCATAGAGAGACCGAATGTGCAGAGCAACAAGATGTTTGTGCCACATTTGCATTAATTAAGCACTAGCGCGTGTCGAGTGGCAACCAGTTCGAGAAAGCTGGAGTACTTTAATGACGCTTGTCGTCGAGAATCCGTATCCGATCGAATTCGCGCGAAATGTAATGTAAATCGGATCGGCGAACCGCAGTCTCTTCCCGCCAATCACGTTTTTCGAATAACGTTGACAAATCGAACTGGGGGATCGAGTTTCCCGTTCGATTGCATCCCGGCCGGAATGTTCAGAGTTCTTTTTTAGCTTGCGACGCAGGTTCCCGCTCTTAGCGCCTGTTAAGCAAAGCTCCGGCAATTTTGCGAGTCGCTGAAGACATCGAGGGCACTCGTCGCAAAGGGTACGCGAGCTGGCAGTTTCGATTCTTTAACCGATGTATCGCTCAAGCAATTTTTGCAGAAACGAGCGCTATTTGTTCCGGTAACTGCGACGTTGAAATGTGTAGGTCCACCTTTTTTTCTTATTTTTCTCCGATGCGATATTATTGTACGTACATACCTACACGTGCGGCGATCGTCTGTAACTTCTTGACACAGATATCATTTTTCTTCAAGTATCGAAAATTGCATTGTGCTCCCCCCCCTCTCTCTCTCACACTCACTTTTAATTAGTAATGGGAGAGACACAATTGAATAAATTGTAAAAGACGCAAAATAGGACCATGAGGGTAATATTACGGGAGAGGCTTACTTGGACACAGTACAAGTTGACTCTGCGCAAATAGACACAGTGCAAATGGACACGGAATGTTGCACACGGTTCATTTGGACACAGAAATTTTTGACACATAAAAGTTGCACACCGTAAAGTTGAACACGGCGCAAATGGACACCGTTCTTTTGAAAAGTTGCAGACCATAATGTTGGACACGGAGCAGGTGGACACTGCTCATTTGCACATGGTAAAAGTTACTGATTATATCAAATGCTTCAACATTACAAAACAATAATTAATTCAGCAATAAAACTGTATACATACACAATTTTAAATCTAATATCTTATATATAAGATAATTTTATATTATATTACGATTGTGAAATACCATTAATACATAGTCACAACTACAATGTAATCGCACCTTATTGCTTCAGCAAAATGGTCAGAATAGTTTTGACATAAACATGAATATCTTATATATAAGATATTAGATTTAAAATTATGTCTAATATCTTATATATAAGATCATTTTATATTACATTATGATTGTGAAATACCATTATTACATAGTCACAACTAACTGCAATGTAATCGCACCTTATTGCTTCAGCAAAATGGTCAGAATAGTTTTGACATAAACATGAATATCGAACAAATGTGTGGGTGGAAGCACGAAATCCAATTAGGAACAATTAGCTTTGGGATTATGCATCTCCGTGGTATTTTAGCCGTGTGTTTCGTTGATTCATTCGATCAGCCGGCCGATCGTAGGATGTATTCGGAGAAGTATGGTGGAATGTGCATCGATGCGATGAAAAGTGTGGACGGAAACAGCGCACTGCCGCGGAAGCTCTCATTGTTCCAGCGCTGAAGCGAAGCGCTGAGCGGATTCAGGCGTTGCGGTATAAAGCTCTCATTATTCACAAAACAGGGATGATAGTAATCTACTCGCGCTCGTGCCGACATTGTTCCGATAAATAACTCCGCGAAATGCAGTTTTACAGTATCTTTTTTTTTCTATATGCTAAAGTCAACAAATATGCATTACAAAGAATATGAGAAATACAGAAAAACACGACATATCCCTTTTACCTTCAAGATTAAAGCTGAAGAATCTTTTTTACACATACTTGATCATTTCTAATACAATACACTTTCTTGTGAATTTTTATATGTATATATGCATAAGTATGCAGATGCATGTTGCAGCAGTTCAGATGTACGAATTATGATATATTTATTACAATTTGTGATAAGACTTTAGTGAACTACTCACCTCTGATTGGGCTGCAGTTTTACCGGTATGTATTGTATGTATTATCTAAATAT